TTCTGGTTTCTTTTTCTCTCCCTAGGCCGAATTTGGGTTGTTGATTTTCTACTACTTTTGAGCCGAATTGATTGCCGAATTGATGGTCTCCCCTTCCCGCATCTCCCCCTCCCCGTTATGGTTTCGATGGGGACCCCTCGGCCAACGGAACGCTCCTCTTCATCCATATTGCACTTCAAGATTGCAACCTCATCCCATGGTTCCCTCCAACTTATTTCCTCCGTTAATTCCTCCTTTTGCCATCCTAATTCCTTCCAGTTGTTTCCTGACCCTGCACTGCTGTTTCTGAGATCTTCCCACCCACTCCACCCTCTTTCCCCTTCCCCGTTTGCTAGCAATGTTATTAGCAAGTACCACAAAATGAGGGTCGACATGGGTATTCAAGAATAGCGATAGTAAAGTGCAGATAATAAAGTGCAAATGTTAACTTCCAGGAGTTAATGATTGCTTGGAGGATTAAGGTGCTGTAAAATGGCGTAATAGGGTTAAAGTGCACAAGATTTTAAAGTGCACAACTTTTAAAGTGCAAAATGCTCACTAGACTCAATGGATAAGTGCAATTGGATGGAAAATTAGCAGCATTGGGTAAGACGGCTCTAATTCCTGTGATGACGATATAGCAGCAATGCAGTCCTCAGTTTTGTTGTTAGATCCAGATTCCTGTATTGGCCCCCTCCCCCCCCCCAGTACAACAGACGTGAGGCAGAAGGGCCGAGGGGTATGGATATAAAAACCCCCGAATGATGGCTGTTGTAACACCACACAAGGAATATTAGGTGAGAATGGCCACAGTGGCTCCAAAATCTGATATTAAGTTGATAGTATGATGTTCAGTTCAATTTCTTCCGGAATAGAGGCGGATGAAGGTGGTAGTAAAGGATGGCAATTCAGAGGCGACAGCCAATGGTAGTTCAGAACAGCAGCTATGACACAAAAAGAGATTCTGGAGCCTCCGCCGACGATGGGCTGCGGAGGAAGGTCCTCGAAAATTAGGTCGCAAAGGCAGCACCTCCTAAGGGTGCGGAGGAGCTACAACACGGCTGGGCTCCAGATGAACAGGTCCTTTCGAGAAGTCGGCCCCCCAGCCCAGGCTCACTCCGGTGGTAGTGGGTACGCGGAGAACCCAGCCAAGTTCACCCAGGCCGCGGCTGAGGTGCAGAGGGGACCGCCAGGGCGCTCCCAGGCCTCCGCCAAAGATGGAACGCGGAGGCGGCGTCAATAGGCCCCAGGACTCAAAGGAGCCAGACCGCTCCCCAGCGAAAGTGCAGAAGCAGCGCCCACTGGAATCGCGGGAAAACGCCAGGAAATCGCCTTCGCCGAGCCGAACAGAAGCTCCGCCCGACCACGCTGGGCTGCAGATGGACAGTGGCGGAAGGAAGGCCCAGTGGTTCGCTGGCTCCAGCAGCCCAGCGGCTGCGAGCAATACCACAACCACGCGGCTAGCGGCTGGCGGCTGGCGGCTGATTAAGCTGAGTTTGCCGCTCCGTCTTTCGGCCTACCTCCGGATGGACCAGGCCCGCACCGCGGGGCAGGGTCAAGACGCTCGTCGCTCGCCGCCCTACACGGCCGTCCCAGTCTTTCGCAGCCAGCAGTAGCTAAGCTCCGCGGTGATATTAGGAGGAGCGGGCTCAGTCCAACTCAAGCCGAGATGGTGGTAAGTCCCGATAAGGCTCAGCTGGCAGTATTAGGAGGGAGCGAGCTGTCCGGGATGGTAATCATAATGGCCTCCGCTCTACCTCCTTCTTCTCCCCCTCTTCCCTTCCTATTCCCTGGATATCTCGCCAGTCGCCCCCCAAGGCCCCCCTACAGGGTCCTGGGGTGTTGCTGGTCAGGGGCCAATAAAGAGAAAGCAGAGTGGGGGGTGGATGGTTGCGGTATAGCCTGGATTGAGGGGTTTCGTCTTACCCCGATGGAGAGGTTGCTGTTACCATGCCGCCATCTTAACCGGAACTTGAACTGACCTTCCCTTCTGGGAGTTGTAGTTCATCCACAACCAGGGAAACTGTGACTTCCACCGATGATGGACCTGGAACAAACCTGACACACAGAACCCCCATGATTAACTCAACCTACTGGAGTGGTTTGAGGGGACTGAATCCCACCGATGAGGCATCTAGAACAAACTTGCTCAACATAACAAACTTTAAGTACCGATGGAATTTCAGGGGCTTAATCTGGCATGATGGGTGTTGTAGTTCACCCATAACCTTATGCATTTTACACAATTAAAAATGGACTTTTCCATTGCCAGAATCACTGGGTTGTTGTGAGTTTTTGGGGCTGTATGGCCATGTTCCAGAAGCATTCTCTCCTGTTGTTTCACCTGCATCTATGGCAGGCATCCTCAGATGTTGTGACGTCTGTTGGAAACAAGGCAAGTGAGGTTTATATATTGTCGAAGGTTTTCATCGCCAGAATCACTGGGTTGCTGTGAGTTTTTGGGGTTGTATGGCCATGTTGCTCTCTCCTGACGTTCTGCATTCTCTCCTGACGTTCTGCATTCTCTCCTGACGTTCTGCCTGCATCTATGGCAGGCATCCTCAGATGTGACGTCTGTTGGAAACGAGACAAGTGAGGTTTATATATTGTCGAAGGTTTTCATGGCCAGAATCACTGAGTTGCTGTGAGTTATCCAGGCTGACTGGCCATGTTCCAGAAGCATTCTCTCCTGACATTTCGCCTGCATCTGTGGCAGGCATCCTCAGATGTTGTGAGGTCTACTGGAAAAGAGGGAAGTGATGTTTATATATTGTCAAAGGTTTTCATGGCCGGAATCACTGGGTTGCTGTGAGTTTTCCAGACTGCCTGGCCATGTTCCAGACCAGAAGCATTCTCTCCTGACATTTTGCATGCATCTATGGCAGGCAAAATGGGGTTTATGTATCTGGGGAACATCCAGGGTGGGAGAAAGAACTCTTGTCAGTTGGAGGTAGTTGTGACTCCTGCAATTGGCCACCTTGATTAGCATTTAGCAGTTTAAAGGTCTGGCTTTTTAACACCTGGGGGAATCCTTTGTTGGGAGGTGATTACCTGGCCCTGATTGTAGGACCAGGAAAGCACATCTACGGTGCTCCCTGACTTTCCTTCTACACTGCAGAGACACAGGAGAGAATGCTTCTGGAACATGGCCATACCGCCCGGAAAACTCACAACAACCCAGTGATTGCGGCCATGAAAGCCTTCGACAACACATTAAACCTCTTTTTGTTTGATTTTCCTAAAACCCACTTGTACAAACCCACATTGTATCTCTGTGGAAATTAGCATCCAATAAGTTACTTATTCAGTGGGGAATCAATGCCCAAAGTGGCTTTTGTGATGGTTCAAAAGGGTGTTACAGGAGCAGGCTTTTCTTTTCTCTCTCTCCATCTCTCTGTAAGAGTTGTGCAGATGAATGGACAAGTTTCTGCCTCTGTTTGAGTTATTTCTGACATCAAAATGAGCCTCCTAAAAGGAGGAAATGGGCACTAAGGGGTGGGTTGGAGAAGGACAGAGTGTTAACCACAACTGAGAAGCAAGGAGGGACTTTGAGAAGGTCCGTACTCATATAGAAAGCGAAAATAAGAGACCTGCTTTGTTTGCCTGCTGGGGCTCATGCCATGGACAACGCTTCTCAAATGGCAGGAGCTTCCTCCCTTCTCCTGCCAATGAGCAGCAACAGCACAGCTCGATGCCAGCCTCCAGGGCTTCACCCGGCCATCCCAGCAGTGTTGGCCATCCTCTCAACCGGCGGCTTGGTCTTCAACGCCTTCAGTTTGTGGATCTTCTGGTTCACCCTCAAGCGCTGGAGCTCTGGCATCATGCTCCAGTTCAACCTGGCCTTGGCTGATGCCATCATCCTCCCGGTCACTCCTCTGACGGTTGCCTACTTCAGCTTGGGCAACCATTGGCCCTTTGGGGAGTTCCTTTGCCAGCTCCAGGTCTTCTTGCTCAGCACCCACCTCTACGGCAGCATCTACTTCTTGATGCTCATTAGCGTCCACCGGTACCAAGCCACAGTCCACTACAACGCCAGGTTGCTCTGGAAGAAGAAGTCCTTCTTGAAGAAGCTCATTATGGTCTTCTGGATTATCCTCTTCCTGCAAGGCTTCCCCGTCTTCTTCTCCCTCAAGACCTCCATCATCGACAGCAAGGTGAAGTGCCTCAGCATCTACCAATCGGAGCACTCCGAACTCTACCTGGCCTACAGCATTTTCCTGGGGATCCTCTGCTTCCTTCTCCCCTTCGGCGTCTCCTTGGCCTCCTACGTCATGCTCGGAATGGCCATCACCAACATCAGTCAAGCCAACCTCCGAGGCCGGGTCATGAAGGCCAAGTCCATACAGATGATCACCATTGCGTTGGTCATTTTTGCCATCTGCTTCACTCCTCTCCACATTTGTGGCACTGTGGCAGCCATTGCAAGGTATTACGACCTGCCTTGCGAGAGTCTCCACAATGTGGAGATTGCCTATTATTTATCCGTGGTCTTCACCATGGTCAACTGTTGTCTAGATCCGTTCCTCTACAATGCTGCTAATGAGAAATTCCATAAGTTCTTTTTCAAGTCCTTGGGAAAGCTGCTCTTCTCTAAGTGACAGGATCATCTTTGGAGGAAACAAGGTAAGGGATCCAAGCTCACCTTTTCTGCCTCATCACCCACTTCCTTTGATCACAGGCTGGATCCACACTGCCATATAATACAATTCCAAACTGCATTATATGGCAGTGTAGACCCAACTTCTGTCAACATGAAGACAGTCATCTCTAGTAGAGGTTAAGCATCTCTTATCCAAAATGTTATGGATTTTTGGATTTTTTTTCTAGATTTTAGCATCCCTGTAGGTAAAGGTAAAGGTTTTCCCTTGACATTAAGTCTAGTTGTGTCCAACTCTGGGGGTTGGTGCTTATCTCAATTTCTAAGCCGAAGAGCCAGCGTTGTCCGTAAACACCTCCAAGGTCATGTGGCCAGCATGACTGCATGGAGTGCTGTTACCTTCCTGCTGGAGCAGTACCTATTGATATACTCACATTTGCATGTTTTCGAACTGCTAGGTTAGCAGAAGCTGGGGCTAACAGCGGAAGCTCACGCTGCTCCCTGGATTCGAACCTGTGACATTTTAATGTATTGTCGAAGGCTTTCATGGCCGGAATCACTGGGTTGTTGTAGGTTTTTTCGGGCTATGTGGCCATGTTCTAGAGCAGCGTTTCTCAACCTGGGGGTCGGGTCCCCTGGAGGGGTCGTGAGGGGGTGTCAGAGGGGTCGCAGTATTTTCCGTTAGTCATGGGGGTTATGTGTGGGAAGTTTGGTCCAATTCTAACCTTGGTGGGGTTCAGAATGCTCTTTGATTGTAGGTGAACTATAAATCCCAGTAACTACAACTCCCAATGTCAAGGTCTATTTTCCCCAAACTCTATGTAAAGGTAAAGGTAGTCCCCTGACATTAAGTCCAGTCATGTCTGACTCTGGGGTGTGGTGCTCATCTCCATTTCTAAGCCGAAGAGCCAGCGTTGTCCGTAGACACCTCCAAGGTCATGTGGCCGGCATGACTGCATGGAGCGCCGTTACCTTCCCGCCGGAGCGGTACCTATTGATCTGCTCACATTTGCATGTTTTTGAACTGCTAGGTTGGCAGAAGCTAGGGCTGACAGCGGAAGCTCACGCTGCTCCCCGGAATCGAACCCCAAACTCTAGCAGAGTTCAAATTTGGGCATATTGATTTTCATGTCAAATTTGGTCCAGATTAATTACTGTTTGAGTCCACAGTGCTCTCGGGATGTAGGTGAACTACAACTCCAAAACTCAAGGTCAGTGCCCATCACACCCTTCCAGTATTTTCTGTTGGTAATGGGAATTCTGTGTGCCAAGTTTGGTTCAATTCCATCATTGGTGGAATCATCCGGTTGCTCCCTGGGCAATGTCCTTGCAGATGGCCAATTCTCTCACACCAGAAGCGACTTGCAGTTTCTCAAGTCACTCCTGACACGGCCAAAAAAAAAAAATTGGTGGAGTTTGGAATGCTCTTTGATTGTAGGTGAAATATAAATCCCAGCAACTACAACTCCCAAATGACAAAATCAATCCCCCACCAAACACCACCAGTGTTCAAATTTGGGTGTATTGGGTATTTTTGCCAAATTTGGTCCAGTGAATGAAAATACATTCTGCATTCCAGATATTTACATTATGCTTCATAACAGTAGCAAAATTACAGTTGTGAAGTTGTCATGAAAATAATTTGCTGGTTGGAGGTCACCACAACATGAGGAACTGTGTTAAGGGGTCGCGGCATTAGGAAGGTTGAGAACCACTGTTCTAGAGGCATTTTCTCCTGATGTTTCGCCTGCATCTATGGCAAGCAGCCTACCTCTGAGGATGCTTGCCACAGATGCAGGCGAAATGTCAGGAGAGAATGCCTCTAGAACATGGCCATATAGCCCGAATAAACCAAAAACAACCCTGTGACATTTTGGTCAACAAGCTCAGCAGCTCAGTGGTTTAGCCCACTCCGCCACTGGGGGCTCCCTTAGAATACCTGTATTTGCACAATATGTCCGTAATGAGATATCTTACAGATGGGACTCAAATCTAAACGTCAGCATAGACTATGCTTCATATATACCTTATAGACATACCCTGAAGGTATTTTAAATAATTTTGTGCATGGAACAAATTTTGCATACATTGAACCATTGGAAAGCAAAGGTCTCACTATTTCAGCTCCTCAAATGGATGATTTGGGAGTACTTTGGCATTCTGGAGAAGGAATTCTCAACATGTACGAGGGTGAGTCGAAAAGTAATGCCTCCATCACTCTAACTTTTATTTCTGTCACAGCTATTGGACTATCTACACATGATGTGATAGAGGTAACCTTCCTCTACCGATACAGTCTTTTCTTGTTCAGATTGATTGATTAGAACCATGTATCTGAAGCTAAAAGAAAGAGTCACCATTGATTTTTTTGCAAAAGAAGGTTGTGCACCTCATAAAATCCATAATCGTTTGAAGAATGTTTATGGAGACGTTGTAATGGACATCACCCATTTGCACCGTTGGGTGAAGAACCTACGTGTTTCAGATTCAATGGCTTGAATGATGTTCAAACAGCTTTAAAATCATGGGTCATGAAGCAAAACCCAATTTTCCCCCTTTTTATTTATTGAAATGCATCATTCAATTACCATTTAACTAACTTTCCAAACTATGTTTCTCTGTTTCTGTGTCAAGTATCTGTCTGAGGTCTTAAGATAAAGTTGGTGCTCATCTCCATTTCTAAGCCGAAGAACCGGCATTGTCCATCGATGCCTCCAAGGTCATGTGGCCGGCATGACTGCATGGAGCGGCGTTACTTTCCTGCTGGAGCAGTACCTATTGATCTATTCACATTTGCATGTTTTCTAACTGCTAGGTTGGCCGAATCTGAGGCTGAAAGTGGTACCTCCCCAAATTTGTACCTGTGACCTTTCAGTCAACAAGTTTAGCAGCTCAACGGTTTAACCCTCTGCGCCACCGAGGGCTGAGGTCATAGTGTGCCTTTATAAAAGCCAAATTTGGGTCTGGAGATGAAAACAAACTATTTTGGCTGAATTGTGACAAAACGCACAACTCTGAAATTCTCAGCATGGTAAGCCATCTGCTACTCCCAAGAAATTCAGGCACATTTTGTAGATACTAAGCAACACTGGGCACATTTAAGAACAACAACAGCAGCAGCAACAACAACAACAACAACAAAAACAACAACAACAACAACAACAAATGATTATTCTATGTTTCCTAATGCATTCTGATTTTACTAACTGCGCAAGGAGTCAATTGTTGAAGCCAATATTTTCATTGCCACAAGGATTAGAAAATATGCCTTCAAATCAACTTATTTATTTCTTTATTATATCAGAAGCAAACCAAGGGTACAGTGGTAATGTATTTAAAAAAAACTTGGCATGATACTAAATGTCTTTTGACCAAAAGTTGGCAGAGTTCTTTCTCCCACCCTGGACATCATTCCACAGATGTATAAATCCCACTCACCTGGTTTCCAACAGACCTCACAACCTCTGAGGATGCCTGCTATAGATGAGGCGAAACATCAGGAGAGAATGCTTCTGGAACATGGCCATACAGCCTGGAAAACTCATGTCAACCCAGTGATTCCGGCCACAAAACCCTCAACAATTCATTATTGTAGTTGTCAATGTATTTTTGAATGTTATATTTGGAAAAAAACAGTATTAAAATGTTGTCATCACTGATGTCATTCAGTCCCATCTTACAACGTAGGAAAAAACTGTATGAGATGCCAGATTCCTAGAGGACCAGCACAAAGTTTTATAACCTTGTGAAGAGATGCAGAAGATGCAGAAAAGTTGCCTTTGTTCAGATGTCATATGTTTTCTGAGAAAGAGGAGGAAAGGACCAAGAGAAGGGGAACTGAGACAAACCCAGGATATTTCAAGAAAGAGCCTGGATACAAAGCCCTGAATAGGCAAGAGAAATCAAAACAAAACAAAGTGGAAAGTCTTGATACTTCCCTTTTCAAAAAAAAGGGAAACCCTGAATATTGTCAATGAAAGTCCTTCCTCTTGAGGTCTTTTCCTAACAAGCAGCTCTGTTAATGATTTGCCAAATTAAGTGTGATTCGCATCAACATGCGGGTTCATTTCAGTGGTAATGACAAACTGGAGGGTTAACATTATGACAGTGTTTCTTAACCTTCCTAATGCCACGACCCCTTAATACAGATCCTTATGTTGTGGTGACCCCCAACCATAACATTATTTTCATTGATACTTCACAACTATAATTTTGCTCCTGTTATGAATTATCTTGTAAATATCCAATATGCAGGATGTATTTTCATTTATTTGGCACGTATACTCGATACGCCCAAATTTGGATACTGGTGGGGTTGAGGGGAGGATTGATTTTGTCATTTGGCAGTTGTAGTTGCTGGGATTTATAGTTCACCTACAATATCAAAGAGCATTCTGAACTCCACAATGATGGAATTGAACCAGACTTGGGTCACAGAGCTCCCATGACCAACAGAAAATACTAGAAGGGTTTGGTGGGCATTGATCTTGGGTTTTGGAGTTGTAGTTTACCTACATCCAGAGAGCACTGATGTATCTGGACCAAACTTGGCAAGAATACTCAATATGCCTAAATGTGGTCACTGGTGCGATTTGGTGAGGATAGACCTTGACATTTGGGAGTTGTAGTGGCTGGGATTTATAGTTCACCTATAATCAAAGAGCATTCTGAACTCCACCAATGATAGAATTGGGCCAAACTTCCCACTCGGAACCCCCACGACCAACAGAAAATACTGTGTTTTCTAATTGTCTTTGGCGACCCCTCTGACACCCCCTCGCCTCCCCTCAGGGGTCCCGACCCCCAGGTTGAGAAACACTGCCTTAATGTAATTCCTCATGTTGTGTTGACCCCCAACTATAACATTATTTTCATTGCTACTTCACAACCATAATTTTGCCATTCTGCTACTGTTATTAATCGTTATGTAAATATCCAATATGAAGGATGTATTTTCATTCACTGGATCACATTTGGCACAAGGTGCCAAGCTCACACTTGGCACCTTGTGAATTGATGGCAGTTTTATCTACTGTTGTTTTATTACCGTATATACTTGAGTATAAGCCGACCCGAATATAAGCCGAAACACCCAATTTTACCACAGAAAACTGGGAAAACTGATTGACCCGAGTATAAGCCAAGGGTGGGAAATGCAGCAGCTACGGGTAAATTTCAAAATAAAAACAGATAACAATAAAATTACATTAATTAGACATCAAGAGGTTAAATGTTTTTGAGTATTATTTACAAAGAATTGAAGTTTAAGATAAGACTTCCCAATTCTGATTAAACCATTATTCTAACCTTCTTCAATGTAAATGTGCTTAAGTATCTTTCCAATAATAATAAAGAGAGGAAAATCATAAATGTTATAAAAATAATAGTAATAGAATAAAATAAGGGAAACATAATAATAACAGTAATAATACAGCAAAATAATAAATGTAATAATAACAACAATAATAAAGTAAATTAATAAATGTAATAATAATAGAGTAAAATGATTAATAGTAATAATAAATAGAGTAAAATAATAAATGTAAAATAACAACAACAACAACAATGAGTAAAATAATAAATAACCTTGACTTGAGTATAAGCCGAGGCAGACTTTTTTAGTCTACAAAAAGGGATGAAAAACTAGGCTTATACTCGAGTATATACAGTATTTTGATTTTATGCTACATGTGTTAGCGGGGGTTGTTGTTATAATTTTATCTGACTTGTTTTATACTTTTGTACCGTTTTTACCCATGGTATGTTATATGTGCACCCAGAAGTGTCTTGTAAGTTGCCCCAAACACTTTGGGGAGATGATGGTGGGATATAAATTGTTTTTGTTTTTGTTGTTAATTTTTCCTGCTGCGGAGGAAACTGGTGACATCAGGAGGAATCCTCAGTTAACAAATGTCTGTATCCTAGCTGGGCTGGCTTTTCAACCAATCGGGGAGGACACAGATACTTTGAATGGCTTTCCAAGAGAATAAAATGTCCTGTACTTTGCTGCATGCTTTATGTTAGATCCATTGCGAGCGGAGACTCTGTATCTGACATCCTTTCAGATCTGAAAGTAATAAACCTCTGTTTCTGATGCTTTCAAACCCGGTTAGTGCCTTGATATTCAGTTGCCAGCTTCTGGCGGTCGTGCAGTGGGTTAAACCATTGAGCTGCTGAACTTAGTGACTGGAAGGTTGGTCGTTCGAATCCATGGGATGGGGTGAGCTCCTACTGTTAGCCCCAGCTCTTGCCAACCTAGCAGTTTGAAAACATGCAAATATAAGTAGATCAATAGGTACCGCCTTGGCGGGAAGGTAAACAGCACTCCATGTAGTCATGCTGGCCACATGACCCAGGAGGTGTCTATGGACAATGCAGGCTCTTCGGCTATGAAATGGAGGTGAGCACCACCCCCAGAGCCGGGAGATGAAGGGAAAGCCTTTATCTCCATCTGTGTATTTGTATTTCATTGTTTTGAAGCATTGAATGTTTACCTTGTGTCTGTATATGTCTGTATATGCTGGAATCCACTCTGAGTCCCCTCAGGGAGATTGGGTGGAATACAAATAAAGTATTATTATTATTCCTCATTTTTACGAAGCCTTTTTCTTTCACCAACAGTTTAAGGAACTGAAGATCCCAAGAGGCGTCACAAAAGCCATGTATGGCATAGGAAGGTCTTGGCCTGGAGGATTGTTGTTTCACTTCCTGCATCACTTCTCGGAGGTTGTCTCCAAAAATATCCCCCTGGAGAAGAGAAAGTTGGTAAGCACCAGCTCTAAAGGTGGAAACATTTGCCGTCTTGCTACACAAGCGAGAGAACGAGAGCTCATAACATTTTCTACCACCTTTTCCTGCTCCCTTTCTGGTCTTGTGGACAGTTCCTCCTCCCAAATTTGGAGCCTGCTCTCTTCATCTGCCAATGAATATCACCAACTCAACCGAATGCCCATCCCAAGAGCTGCATCCAATCATCCCAGCCTTCCTGGGCATCTTCTCTGTGGCCGGCTTGGTCTTCAATGCCTTCAGTTTATGGATCTTCTGGTTTGCCCTCAAGCGCTGGAATTCTAGCATCATGCTCCAGTTCAACCTCGCTTTGGTGGACACCATGATCCTTCCGGTCACTCCTTTGATGGTGACCTATTTCAGCATGGGCAACGACTGGCCCTTTGGGGAGTTCCTCTGCCAGTTCGAAGCCTTCACCCTCAGCACCCACCTCTATGGCAGCATCTACTTCTTGACGCTCATCAGCATCCATCGGTACCAAGTCATTGTCCATTACAAAGCCAAGACTCTTTGGAGAAGCAAGTCCTTCTTGAAGAAGCTCATCATGGCCTTCTGGACAATCCTCCTCCTGCAAGGGCTTCCAATCTTCTTCTTCCTGAAAACCTCAGTCATCGACGGCAAGGTGAAGTGTCTCAGTATCCACCAGACGGAGCTGTCTTATGTCTTCTTGTTGTACGGCATTGTCCTGGGGACCTTCTCCTTCTTCCTTCCCTTCAGCATCTCCTTGGTCTCCTACATGATGCTGGGGTCCTATATTGGCAAAATCAGCCCGGTTAATCTCCAAGGCAGGGTCATGAAGACCAAGTCCGTTCAGATGATTGTGGTCACCTTCCTGATTTTCGCCATCTGCTTCATGCCGCTCCACGTCTTTCGGACAGCAGGTACCATCGTGAAATACTATAACCATTCCTGCAGGTTCCTCCACTATGTTGAAGTTGCGTATTACATTTCGTTAGTCTTCACTACTGTAAACTGTTGCCTCGATCCCTTCATCTATAACTTTTCCAATGAGAGATTTAGCAAGTCCTTCTCAACCTCCTTGAGAAGATTGCTGTTTTCTAAATGAAGGAGATCCTAAATGAAGGAGATCTCCATGGAAGCTTGTGACCAAAGAAAGATCCTTTACTTTCCATCTTCAACATTTGCGAACATTATTTAAACCAGTGATTCCCAACCTTCCTAATGCCGTGACCCCTTAATACAGTTCCTCATGTTGTGGTGGCCCCCAACCATGAAATTAATTACAACTATAATTTTGCTACTGTTATGAATCGTAACGTAAATATCTTGATATGCAGGATGTATTTTCATTCACCGGAGCAAATTTGGTACAAATACCCAATATGGCCAAATTTGAATACTGTTGGGGTTGGAGAGAGGGAATCGATTTTGCCATTTGGGAGTTGTCATTGCTGGGATTTATAGCAGGGGTCCCCAAACTACGGTCCGCGGGCCACTTCCAGCCCGCCAAGGGCCCTTATTCGGCCCGCGGAGGAGGAGCGCCCGCCCCCCCCCACACAGTGCCCCTCCCTTGGCAGGCCCATGCTATCCGTCAGGCCCGATAGGCATTGTGAGCCTGCCAAGGGCAGCTGCTCCGCATGGCCTACTCGCGCGTAAAGCACCTCACGAGGTGCTTTACTCGCAAGTAGGCCGCGCGAGGCTGCTCCTCCCTTGGCAGGCTCACGCTGCCCATTGGGCTGATGGGCAGTGTGAGCCAGCTAAGGGAGGCTGCCCCAGCGCTCCATGCAGTCATGCCGGCCGCATGACCTTGGAGGTGTCTACGGACAATGCCGGCTCTTCGACTTAGAAATGCAGATGAGCACCACACACCAGAGTCAGACACGACTGGAGTTTATGTCAGAGGAAAACCTTTAACCAGGAAAATTGTGGAAGATCCAGAGTGGGAGAAAGAACTCTTGTCTTTTGGAGGTGGGTATGAATGTTTCAATTGGCGAACTTGATTGCCATTTCATAGCCTGACATTTTTTAGGGAGAATCCGTTGTTGAGAGGTGATTAGCTGGCCCTGATTGTTTCTTGTCTGGAGTTCCCCTGTGTTTGAGTGTTGTTCTTTATTTACAGTTATAATTTTAGAGTTTTTTTAAATACTGGTGGCCAGATTTTGTTCAGACTAGAAATAGGAAGATTTCCCATTCTCTGCTCCTGGAATTACTGCCTAAAGAGGGCGAGAAAGAACCCTTCCACACAGCAAAATAAGATACGTGCAATGTGCATAGGAATTTTTTATTGATTTTTAAAAAAGAAACCCTATAGTCCGGCACTCCATCGGTCTGAGGAACAGTAAACTGGCCCCTGGTTTTAAAAGTTTGAGGACCCCTGATTTATAGTTCACCTACAATCAAAGAGCATTCCGAATTCTACCAAAAATGGAATTGAACAAAACTTGGCACACAGAACTGTCAGGATGAATTTAGTTGTGTATGTGTTTTTCAATGTGCTTCTATGTATTGCCAAGATGGATGCCACTGTGAATTGAAAATGCCATGCAGAAATGTTTATACTTTGAGGCTGTGATTAAGTGAACTTGAGAAAGTAAGATAAGGTTTGTTCTTGCTGAGAACAGAAGGGAGTTGCCAGTCTCAGCAAGAGAAGATAAGCAGATGTGCAGAGGCTTTCGGTTCTGACTTGTTCTTTGTTTTCTTCCTGAATTGTATCTCGCTGTAGAAAGATGTGTCTGTTGTATGTACTTAGTAAACTTAGTTTCTTTTGTAACTCAAAGCCTGCAGAGTCCTTATTTTGCAACTCAGTGTCTGCTTGATCTAGCAATCCTTCCACTCGGGATCGCCAATCTCTGACAAGAACTCCCATGAGCAAGAGAAAATACTGGAGGGATTTGGCGGGCACTGACCTTGAGTTTTGGAGCTATAGTTCACATACACCCAGAGAGCACTGTGAACCCAAACAACGATGGATCTGAACCAAATTTGGCACAAATGCATGATACACCCAAATTTGAATACTGGTTTGGTTGGGGGGGGGGGATTGATTTTTGTAATTTGGGAGTTGTAGGTGCTGGGATTTATAGTTTTATAGTTAATTTTGCTACTGTTATGAATCGTAATGTAAATATCTGATATGCAGGATGTATTTTCATTCACTGGTCCAAAATTGATACAAATACCCAATATGCCCAAATTTGAATACTGGTGGGAATGGCAGGGAGGATTGATTTTGTCATTTGGGATTTGTAGTTTAAAGTGAATATAAGTGTATTGTCAAAGGCTTTCATGGTTGGAATCACTGGGTTGTTGTAGGTTTTTCGGGCTATATGACCATGTTCTAGAACAGTGGTTCTCAATCTTCCACATTATTTTCATTGTTACTTCAGAACTGTAATTTTGCTACTGTTATGAATTGTAATGCAAATATCTAATATGCTGGATGTATTTCCATTCATTGGACCAAATTTGGCACAAATACCCGATATGCCCAAATTTGAATACTGGTGGGGTTGGGGGAGGTTGATGTTGCCATTTGGGAGCTGTAGTGGCTGGGATTTATAGTTCACCTACAATCAAAGAGCATTCTGAACTCCACCAAGGATGGAATTGAACCAAACTTGACACACAGACCTCCCATGACCAACAGAAAATACTGGAAGGGTTTGGTGGGCATTGACCTTGAGTTTGGGAGTTGTAGTTCATCGACATCCAGAGAGCACTGTGGACTCAAACATTGACCCAACTTGGCACGAATATTCCATATGCCCAAATATGAACACTGATGGAGTTTGGGGAAAATAGACCTTGCACTCTGGGAGTTGTGGTTGCTGGGATGTATAGTATAGTCAAAAAGCATCCTGAACCCCACTAACAATAGAATTGGGCCAAACTTCCCACACAGAACCCCCATGACCAACAGAAAATATTGTGTTTTCTAATGGTCTTTGGTGACCCCTCTGACACCCACTCACAACCCCCTCAGGGGTCCCGACCCCCAGGTTGAGAAACCCTGTTCTAGAAGCATTCTCTCCTGACGTTTCGCCTGCATCTATGCCAAGCATCCTCAGAGGTATGCTTGCCATAGATGCAGGCGAAATGTCAGGAGAGAATGCTGCTAGAATATGGCCATATATGTTACGGTAAGTCCTTGCACGACACAAGTATATGTGTGAAGAAAAACCTTATTGTTTGTAACTATCTTGTTCAGTGGACTAGGTAGGTCAAGCAGCAATCTTGTGCCACGCACAAAGGGCTATAACTGTTTGAGTTTTTTGAATACAATGTGGTGGTTGCTGGATGGGCTGCTGCTGGAGTTCTGTTTTCACCAGTGTGGAGTTCCAGCAGGAGATGCTGACAGTGAAATAGCTATTTACTTCAGGTTGTTTAGATTTCCCATTTGCTGCTTAGAAGATGCTTTATTTTATGTTTATTACAAAGACTGTGTAAATATGTCGCACTGCTGATTTTTGTGTGCAGCATTGCCAGGTTTGTTTCATCTCTGCAAAGTAAAGAGAGTAAAGATTTTCTGTTTACCTTGACTATTGGTCTGAGACTATTTTACATCTGGGTTTTTGGGCGTTAGGATGCTGGATTAAAATATGCGCTGCGTAACAATATAGCCCAAAAACCCTAAAACAACCCAGTGAATATAAGTTATTTTAATTTATATATATATAAATGCTCTCTGCATAATGAGTACCTTAAAAACAAAAGAACCAATGAATGAAATCACACCAAATTTGGCAACAAAACGTCTCACTACACAAGGAGTGACCATCACTCAAAAATTATGATTTTGTCATTTGGGAGTTGTAGTTGCTGGGATTTATAGTTCACCTACAATCAAAGAGCATTCTGAACTCTACCAATGATGGAATTGAACGAAATTTGGCACACAGAACTCCCATGACCAACAGAAAATACTGGAAGGGTTTGGTGGGCATTGTCCTTTGGTTTTGGAGTTGTAGTTCACCTACATCCAGAGAGCACGGTGGACTCAAACAATGATGGATCTGGACCAAACTTGGCACGAATACTCAACATGCCCAAATGGGAACACTGGTGGAGTTTGGGGAAAACAGACCTTGACATTTGTTGTAGTGGCTGGGATTTAGAGTTCACCTACAACCAAAGAGCATGCTGAACCCCACCAGTGATAGAATTGTGCCAAACACAAGGTAGTAATAATAATTATGTTGAGATTGGGGTTCAATTCCACACTTGGCGATGGAAATCCATGATTTTGGGTAAGTTTTATACTCTCTGTTCAAAAAAATATTGGTCTTAGGGTTGCCACAAGTTGGAAGCACTTTAAAGGCATACAGCAACAATGGCAACAATGGCAACTGGACAGCCCGTGAAGTCTCTTCCAAAATCTATGATTTTATGATTAGCTCTATAACCCATTGATTTTTAGCATCTATGGTATTGAAACATCAGAACTCCACCAAGTGTTCAATTCCTCCCCTCTCCAGCCATAAAAGAAATCTCTTAAATCTATATTGCTATTCACAACTGATACGGAATGTGGTCACCAGGTGGTGCTGAAGCACATACAACGTCCTCACTGGGGAAGGGTTTAATAGTTGTTGGCTTTGCCTCAGTTGCCTGGGATTTGTAGTTTCGCCTCTGGCTGAGAAAGGCAGTATACAAATGCGGTAAATAATAAATAAACGCTCTGGGATGAATGCGGCTGGATCCAGACCTAGTTATTCATCATTATAAAACGAAATGGAACGATGGGATTTGGAGTTCTATAAGGTCTGCCAAAGAGGGCTGGTGTTCTGCCAAACTACAACTCCCAGGGGCCCATATTGAGTTGTGACCGTTAAAGTGGTGTCAAACTTCCCTCGATCTACTGTGTTGAAATATTTTCCTCCTTACATCCAGATTAGAAACTGAACTAGTCTCCTTTATACAAGCCAAGTGGGTGGGTTGGATCAAATAGAAGAACATTATTGTTATTGTCCATCATAGGTAGGCAAAGGTTTCCCCCTGTCGTGGTCATCTCCATTTCTAAGCCGAAGAGCCGGCGTTGTCCGTAGACACCTCCAAGGTCATGTGGCGGGCATGAATGCATGGAGCACCCTTACTTTCCTGCCGGAGCGGTACTTATTGATCTACTCACATTTGCATGTTTTCGAACTGCTAGGTTGGCACAAGCTGGGGCTGATAGCAGGAGCTCACCATGCTCCCCGGATTTAATTGTGTTGTACATCATACTGAGGAGCCCCCAAAGCCCTCCCTCCAATGACATTTCAGGTTATAGCGACCACCATGAACATATAGCCCAAACCTGCCAGTGTCCTCCCCAAACATGACCAGGTGTGCATACACCCCTGGTGTGGAGAGGATTGACCCACGATTCTGAGAATTGTAGTTCACCCATATCCTTATGCATTCATAAACAACAAAATCAAATACTGGTTCTTTTCTAATAAATTAAATAATATTACCTAAGATAATTTAGGAGCCCCCGGTGGGTTGAACCGCTGAGCTGCTGAACTTGCTGATTGACAGGTTGCAGGTTCGAATCCGGGGAGTGGGGTGAGCTCCTGCTGTTAGCCCCAGCTTCTGCCAATCTAGAAGTTTCGTAACATGCAAATGTGAGTAGATCAATAGGTACTGCTCTGGCGGGAAGGTAACAG